TTCTCCTGCCTTAGCTTCCCGAGTAGCTGGGACTACAGGCGCCCGCCACCACGCCTGGCTAATTTTTTGTATTTTTAAACAGAGACAGGGTTTCACCGTGTTAGCCAGGATGGTCTCGATCTCCTCACCTCGTGATCCGCCCACCTCAGCCTCTCAAAGTGCTGGGATTACAGGCGTGAGCCACCGCGCCCGGCTGGTCATTTCTTAATAAGGATTGAATGGCAATGAAGTGCTTAACTGAAACCATGATCTGGTTATAACATATTAGAAATAAAGACACAAACTTTACTTCTCTGCATTCCCAAGTCCTTCCAAAGAAACTTATTTCTTTCAATCATGAAACATCTACATTCAATAAACACACATATATATATATACACAAACTAAAAATAGTAATCACTTTATAAAACTATTTTAGAATATGAGGATTAGCTGTGATACTTCCTGTGTTATAAATGTATCAATGACTTTTTTTAATGAAAGAAGGAGTAAAGGAAGGAAGAAAACAAAGGATGGAAGAACAGTAATATGTAGGTTTCAATTGTTTGGATCAAGTGTGAGGAAGGAATTTTGCACACTATCTCAATATAGCCTGACAAGATTATGTTAATCTGTACATAATATCAGTGTCTGCTCTTCATTCACCACCACGAGGATCTGGAAATCGAGTCCATAGCTGGGGTCAACTTACCCATTTAACGATACATTTTGTTCAATCACGTGAACACAATTTATGTGTATGTTAAACCAGCTGGTTGTGGTTTAGGAATATTCATATCAAGAGCTGCCCATAAATTGTTTAGAAATATGTTAAATCTTAATAATTCAGTCTCTTATGCATCATGATTTTTGGGCTAGATCTATTAAGCTATGCTTATAGAAGCCTCTGAAATGACATAATTTTTGTAGTTGAAGGTCTATAATCTAACAGTAGAAACAACTAAGCTACGTTATAGGGCTTGGTTCTTGGACTTGAGTTTCTAGATATTGTCGGCTGAAAGGCATCTGGTACTACCCAAAGCCTATTCAGAGTCATTTATAATTAATTTCAAAGGAACATTCAGTGAAGTTGCATGAAGTGCTTGGAATCAGACTGGGTTTTGAAGAAAGAGCAGAGGGAGAGGCTGCAGACATAATTAATGCCCCGGCACATCCAGTTCATTACTACACTTCAGAAGTACATTGTTACTCAGGCCTGACTGTGTGTGGTCCTTCCTATCTGCCTGAATGAGGCACCAGCAACCCTTTCTGTAGCCATTCTGGGTTCAGAAGTGAAGAGAGAATGCTGTTTGCTGTGGCCAGGCTTGAGGGGTGAGATAGTTTCTAGGGACAGAATGGAGTAAGAAAGGGTCTAGAATGGGCTGAGTCATTCTCAAAACGACAAGACAGAAACCTGTGTGTAAAAGTTTTACGTTTTGCCTTAACCATCCACAACACTTGCCCTCAAAACGTCTGGAACCCAAGAAGACTTCCACAAATATATTTAATGATGGTCATAATTTTGAGCTCCTACTTGATGCCTTACGACTTTAGATACACACACCGTTTTGTTCAGCAGCAATATGATTCTGTACAAAACACAATGCCTGGTGGGGTTTTCAGAATTCTCCATGGCTTTGCCTTTTGTTGTCTATCAATTTAATTTCGCTTTATATTGCTAGAACTCTTTGGAGGCATTTGCAAAGTTAAAAGTCTTGCTCCCTTTGTGAATGAGATTTTGTTTAAGTTGTTATTCTCTTTTGCTTTGCTTTTCCTGGACAGACATGCACATTCACACTAAACTACTGTGTCCTGACACCATTGTCACTGGACAAGAGGAAGGAGTGCAAGACTGTGAGAAATAACATTTGAAGTGCTGAACCTACGGACCCACCCTCAAATCTCAGGCATCAATGTCTGTCTCAGAGTCCCAGATCAAAGCTCACTTAATTCCACATAATCAGATATTAAAAGGAAAATCCAAGATTACTTAAAATATAGAGCAAGAGATGAATAAAGGCAGATTGTAGGCAGTTGGGTCCCATGTTACCTGGAAGCTATGTCTTCTTCCCCTTCTCTATATTATATAGACAAGAGATCCAACTACTATGTTTCTGAGGCATATTATTATTTTTTATTATGGTCAATGATACCTAATTATTAAGGTCCACAAAGAAGATACAGGGTAGTACATTCTGAGTACATATTGGGGGATTCTGATTTTGTTAGAAAACTGATTTATTTGCAAATGATGACATTCTCTCCATCAACATAATCCTGATACCAATGTGATTGATGCTTTGGTGCTAATGGCCAGTTATAAGTTGCCTTCTTCCAAATAGCAGCTTAAAAGAACATTAAAATGCAAGAGCTATAGGTGCCAAATTATATTTTAAAGTATCCCTTGTAGAGTGGGTTAAAACCATTTCCCCAATTTGATATCATTTGGTTTCTAAGGAAATATCACATAAATTTCTTTTATCTGCCATACTAAAATGCATGCTGTTGGTAATAGTTTGTAAGTAAGTGAGAATATAGATAAGTCATATGAAATAACAAATGCTACCACATTGTTACAATCACAGTTCCTAAGAGAAGAGATGTAGATGGCATTGTGTAGGACAAATAAAAATATAATTCTTTCTCCATCTTCTAACTTCTGTGATTGAAGTTTGAATGAACAGACATTTTATATAGTACTTCACAAACATATAGAAACATTGTAACTACAATAATCAACTATAATAGATTAGCAAAATGATAACAGATTGGACCATTATCTCAGACTATAGCTTTGAATATACACTTAGATTATAACGTATGAAAAATGTAGTTGACATCCTGTCGGTGACAGATAAGAAATCTCTGGCACGTTCTTCATCGTGACATTTATGGCAATGTAAATGGATACGTCTTCTCTAAGTAAAATCATATAAACTAATACAGAATTTGTGATTCTTCTGACAAATTGAGATATATAAATACAATACTTCTCTCCAGGCCTATCACTAGTAATGAGGTGGATTTCCAATGATGCTTTTCAATATGCTTCCCATAGATATTCTTAAGTATGGAGAGAATAAATATGTGTTTGTAGTTGCTTAGACAAATCTTTACAAAAAGTGAGAGAAATAGATTGGATATTCCTGGAAGTCCCTTTCAGCCTTAGGGTTACAAAACTCATTGTTCATCACCAACATGTTTATTGATTTAATATACCATAATAAGTTCTAAGTTACTGAAGACATAATAAACGACATCAGTGAGCTTGTTCTCTCCCCATGCTCCAGTGCTACAAGGAGCCCATCAACATTGCTAAGGCATTTTCTAATATAAGCATGAGGACTGAGGGGCTCCCAGCCTGCTCTGCTCGTACTGACTGTAAACCTCCTCATTGTCCAGAGACACAGGCCCACAGAAGAGGGGGTCAGGCAAAGGTTTAGAGTTCCAGGTCTACTTCCTGTCATCTCCATATAAAGAGTGTTGTACTTGTGCCCTTATAAACCCCCAGGGCAAGAAAATAACTCAAATTATAAAAGGGATCATGATTATAACAAATATTTGCATATCTACAAATGCCTTCTAGCCACACAAATAGAAAATCTAAAAACATTAAATAAGCCTCATAGACTACATTGGAAATTAGTAAATATGTTCTTTAACTGAGTTATGTCATAACCAAACCATAATGCAGCCAAAATCCCTGAACAGAAAAGAATATTGCATTCAGTTAGACATAAGTTATCAATGAGTAGGAAAATGACCTCTCCAAGGTTTCAACGAAACAAATGCTTCCAGTTTATTAACCTCAATAGAAACTTAGATTTTATATTTGATCCCAAACAGGAAAACTCTGGACACATGATGCTCCTAATTTTAGTGTGAGCCAGTAATATTTTCATGCAGTATTGATTAATGAGAACAGGTCTTCAATTGAGCAGGACATGCGATGGAATCCTATCTGTAACTATAATGATTACTAGTTCTGAAGATTATAGCTACTTCAGTATTCATGAAAGTGATTCACTGAATTTAAAAGCCGTATCAATCAAACTGCAGAACATTTTTTTAAAACCTCAAAGCCATAAAATACAGAGGTTTCCTTGCTTTGTGTTGTACAAGAAGAAACAACATTCTTGGCAAAATGTCCTGACACTTCTTTGTCACTAATGCCAGTATCCAGGAATTTGCTCTCAAGAATAGCATTCGGCTCTTAGGAGGCATCAACTGGGGAAAAGGAAGGGGGTAACTAACATGTCATTTAGTTGAATGCTGTTTATTAGAATATAGTTTAGTGTTGCAAAAGCTACCTATATAAGTGCTAAGTTGAAAAGGGTCCAGTGTAGCAAAGCATCTCATTTTAACTGATATTTGTTAGAAGGTGGCAAAAAGACCTTTCTTCAATCTTGGTTACAGATATAGCTGGTATTTGGAAATTCCATTTCCTCTGGATTCCATGCTACATTAATTAAATCTAAGATATATTTACTAAGCAGACATAGAATGCTTTCTTGGTATCTGAAATCCTTGGTTATATGTATTCTCAGTCCAAGCACTGATTTCTCTAAATAAGGGAAACTGTTAGATTAATAGGTTAGTATTATATAATATACTAACAATACAGAAGCAGATTCTGAAAATCTAATAATGTTGTGTGAAATGTAGTTATCTAGAAGAGATATGTATAAAAATAGGTAATATCCCTAAAATATTTTGCCGAGTTACAATTCTTCCAGTTGAGAAGTTTACCACACTGCCACGATACATGTATGAAATGTCTGTTCAGAAAAAGAAACTTAGAAAATATTCCTCACCCACCAACTCACTAAATGTAGGAATATATAATCAAAACTGGCTCTCAAAAGTGGTACAAATATATAGGGAAAGATACTTGTATGTGTGATAAACAAGAAAACATGGAACCTATTTATTGGTTAGTTCTGAAAGGGGACCCACACTTGTAATTAAAATATATGTGTATATATATGACCAAAAACACTCATATGAATGGACACATCTTATTTCCCTCATCCTCCGGCTTTGTATTGACAGCGGTCACCTCCACCTTTTAGTAGGATTATTGCCTGACATAATACAGAAATTTTGCTGCTTGTTCTCAACAAAGCAATGAAAGAGACACAATCTCTTTCCACCCCCGCTGTGGTGACCCATGTTCTGGGCTTGTGCTTTTTGGAGGAGTCTTTGTTCTGTAGCAGGTCTCAGAGGCTTGTCTCCCGGAGGAACATGGTGCCGATGTTGTAGGAAACCTTTTTTATTCTCGACGAAGAAAGAGAAGGCTTTGGTGGCTTTGGACCAGTCCTTACCTCCAGGAAATAGCAGATCCCAGGAATTTCCTTTGGAAAGTTGTCTGGAAGCTCTTCACGAGACCGCGGAATGAATGTGAAACTTTCTTCCCGTTTTAATAATCTAAGAAAAAAATACAGAGCACATGAATCAAGTAGGCCAGGGAAATGTAAATACGTGGACAGAAATTTTAAAGGCTCAGGAAGCCTGTCTCTGACTGCTCATGGTGACACCTCTATTTCTTTGTATAGATGTGGCCTTCATCAGATTCCAAATGCTAGGAAATGTTATAATCCAGAAAAGATCCCTTCATGTAATTAAAACAAACAAACAAACAAAAAAAACACAAAAAAACTCAAAGCTAAGTGTGGTACTACCTGAAAATATTTGTTCAAGATTGATTTCTTTCTAAACAGCATTTCTTGAAAATATTTGTTCAAATGTTATTGTTTTCCCTAAACAAAGGTCCGAGGAAACTGCATAATACAGGTTTTATTTCAAGCATACAGGATTTACATTCTCTGTTTTTAAAACCTGCCCAAATTCTAGTGCACTCCTTTTATGTTTGGTAAACCATGTGCTTTAAATGTGTGCCCTGTATGTAAAAAACATTAATCAAGTATTTACCTTTGTAGAACAACATTTCATGACTCCCAATGTCTCTGATACCTGCTTGCTGATTTCTAGCCAAGCATGCTATCCAAACTCGATAGCATTATTGGTTAAACAGCTTGATTCTTCTCTTCCAGTCACATATAAAGACTCTTCTTCAAAACACTAACACTGGAATAAATTTATTCGTTAAACTTGTCCAGTTTCATGTAATGTTCAGTTTCATACTTGTATCTCAAAGTGTGGCCCAACAATTCAATTTAACTCAACAGCTCTTTATAGACTATTTCTTATTGCCCAAGAAAAACCTCCTAGACACTTCTGTGAATATAAGGAGTAGAACACATCTAAAAAGCTCACAGTTTTGTCAACAGATACAGAAACAGAATAAAAGAGTTTTTAAAAACCCTCAACAAATGAACAAAACACAGAGTGATATAAAAGTACAGAACAGAATAGGCTAGATGCCATCCGAAAAGTAGACACGAAAATTGCAGAAGTCTAGAGGAAAAAAGTATTTGCAGTGGGAGGACCATAGAGACTTCATGGACTAGATGTTATTTAAAGGCATGTACAGAATGATGTAACCAAAGGGTTAGAAACAAGAAAAATGTAAAGTTTCTAACCCTATGATGACATTCCCCAGTGAGGTCAGAATGAGGGTTAAGACTGGGACAGTAGTTTAGGAAAAAGTTTTAAAGCCCTAAATTCAGAGTTTGGACTTTATTTGGAAAGCACCTTGGATCCAAACCCATTACTTTTTTCTTAAAAACAACCCATCCTCCTAACACAGATTCATGTTAGCAGCAGCTCCAAGTTATGCTGTGTAGGAGACAGGTTGGGGCAAAAGAACCAGTAAGCACAAGCAGAATAAAGGATGTGTGAACATACAAGAACATTGCACAGTCAATTATGAGAATCTCTAAGGAGAAGAAAATATTCCTTCTCTAATGCTATTAATGGATAGGAAATACTACCTAAAACAACAGTTGGTAGTACTAATAAGGTATAATATGAGCAGTCTATATTTAATTTGAAAAACAAGAGCTATAGTATTTTGATTGTTAAAGGATATAATGGCAGTTTTAAAAAAACAAAATGATTATATTCATTTGGTATATAAAAAATGAGGTTCCTTCTAACATTTCAAAATTCTTTCAAAAGCCTTATCCTATTTTATTCACAAAATATAGTTGTTTGTAAAAGCTAAAAGTACAAACTATGCATCCAACAAAGGTATAATATGCAGCATGTATGAGAAACATAAATTTACAAGAAAAAAACACAACCCCATTAACAAGTGAGCAGAGGACATAAACAGGCATTTCTGAAAAGAAGACATACATGAAGCCAACAAGCATGTGAAAGAAAGCTCAACATCACTGATCATTAGATAAATGTAAATCAAAACCACAATGAGATACCATTTAACACCAGTCAGAACGGCTGTTATTAAAAAGTCAAGGGCCAGGCATGGTGGCTCTCGCCTGTAATCCCAGCATTTGTGGAGGCTCATGAGGTGGGTGGCTCACGAGGTCAGGAGTTGAAGACCAGCCTGGCCAACATGGTGAAACCCCAGCTCTACTAAAAATACAAATAAGCCAGGCATGTTGGAGTGCCCCTGTAAATCCCAGCTACTTAGGAGGCTGAGGCAGGAGAATCACTTGAACTGGGAGGTGGAGCTTGCAGTGAGCCGACAACATGCCACTGCTCTACAGCCTGGGTGACAGAGCGAGACTCAGTCTCAAACAACAACAACAACAAAAAAAGTAAAAAAAGTAACAGATGCTGGTGAGGTTTTGGAGAAAAAAGGAACATGTATACAAAGTTGGTGGGACTGTTAATTAATTCAACCATTGTGGAAGACAGTGTGGAGATTCCTCAAAGACCTAAAGACAGAAATACCATTTGATCCAGCAATCCCATTACTGGGAATATACCCAGAGGAATATAAATCATTCCTTTATAAAGACACATGCATGTGTATGTTCATTGCAGCATTATTCACAATAGCAAAGACATGGAATCAACCTAAATGTCCATCAGTGGTAGACAGGATAAAGAAAATGTGGTAAAACACACACTATGGAATACTATGCAACCATTAAAAAAAGAATGAGATGTCATTTCTAGCAACATGGATGGAGCTGGAGGCCATTATCATTAGCAAACTAATGCAGGAACAGAAAACCAAATACTGTATGTTCTCATTTATAAGTGGGAGCTAAATGATGAGACTACATGGACGCATAAAGAACAACACACACCAGGGCCTTTTGGAGGGTGGAGGGTGAAGGATGGGAGGAGGGAGAGATTCAGGAAAATAACTAATGGGTAGTAGTCTTAATACCTGGGTGATAAAATAATCTGTAAAACAAACCCCCACGCATGCACAGGTATGTAACAAACCTGTACTCGTACCCCTGAACTTAAAAGTTGAAAAATGCTAATCTCCACAAAATTTATAGAGGGTGAAAGTGAGTTCAGAGTAAGTTATACTGATTTGCTCAAGGAAACAACATGACAGTAGTGACAATGGAACTGGAACCTAGACCTGTAAACACAGTCAAGTTTAGCCCAACAATAAATAACAAGACTAGGTAAGATAGCTCTCCATCACAAAACAACGAAACTGAGATATCATTAATGACAGTAAGAAGGGAAGTCAGCAGTAGTGTTTACTTTCTTTTCATTTTCACAAATGTCAATTCTCTTTACTATTGATATATAATCAGTCACTTCAGAAATAAATTGTAAAACGCCCTATACAGTAGTTTAATTTAGCAGTGAATTCCACAACAATTTTGCTAAGCTCAAATAGAACAGTCATCATTGTGTAATATGTGGGTGTCAATCATTGATGTCAATCAATCAACAAACTTTTTAGTGGTTATGACATTATAAATAGCCCTCTGAATGGAGGCGAGTAAGTGGGGATTCGCAGAATAAGTTAATATAACTAAAATGACAAGAAATGCTCATTGAAACAAATTAGCAATAAAATGATATAACATCTGATATAATCTAAAGGAAGAAATTTTACAGGAGAAAGGGAGAGGTGATAACTATGGACTTAAGTACAAAAGTTAAGAACCACATATAGCCATAGTTCAGTCTTTCCACAAAGTTTCCTTGAAGCCCATAATCAACAGTTAGGACTCCAAATAAGCTACATTCCCTTCTCCCTATCTTTTAAGTCCTCAAATGTATCTTTTACAGTTTGTTTGTCTCACTAAGATCTTTGTTTTGCTGTAATTGAGATTTTCAACCCCAAACAAAAATGGGGTTACGTCCATGAAAGTACTTGTAAATGACTGAAAGAAGATGGTACCAGCTGCTTCAGATGTCAGAACTTTTAAATAATTCACTGCACGTTGGCTGGGAGGAAACTTAATGAATTGATCTCTTGACATTTTAAATAGATCTCATATACTTTGCTAGAGATTACAGAGACAACAGCTTTTATGAAATTGTATTTTCTTTTCCCAGTGAACATTTTGGTATCCATAAACTAAATACAGTTTTAAATTTCAATACTAAAAATGAGAACACATAAGGATAAATTGACTCAAGGTCCTATGATATCCAGTATTTATTACAGCAGACTTTGTAGATAAGAACATTGAAGTGCAATGTTCAGTTGAATTCCAATAGGACAATCTTTATGACTTGCTGGGGGGTTTGTGGAGGAGGTCAGGGGAATCATTTCACACAGCGTGCCTGGTGATGATATGAGTCATGGTGCTGAGTAAGCAAGCAAATGTATACAAGGATTAGGAATTATTTAGAACCTGATCATCCCAAATCCTCGGATCCCCTCTGAAATGCTTTATTAAGTCCAAGTCCCCGGGTTAGCCCTAAAGCTCTACCTAACAATCCATTTCTTTGGCACCTCAGGGCTGATATGGAAGCTTAGATTCTATATAAATCTAAATTAATCCCCAGCTGTAATCCCCAGCAGGTTGTTATACACTCTGGGAGTTTTGGCAACATGTTTAATAAGCATTTGGAAATCACACAAATCCTAGTTTACCTGCCTGTCCTAGTTTACCCTTTCTCTGCTCAACAGTTTTTTCTATAAATTGTTTTTCAAAATAAAAATCCACTGCTGCTTTGCATCAATGGATGGCTCCCAAGCATGTGCAGGAAACTTGATTCCATGGAGGTCCATGGAGCTTCTCCGTCACAGCTGCAGAAACGAAGCTGGTCTCTGACTCTCTCACCTCTTGTTTGCATGCTCATTTCCCCTAGTTTTCACCATGCTCTGTGCTCTGTCCTACATCCTACCTTGGGAAAGGGTCTGACACTTATTCATAATGAAGTACAAATGATCTAAATCTAGTTCAAATTTTAACACAAGACTCAGAATTCTTAAAAAGGGTCTGTGAATTCAGCAGTCAACTCGTCAACAGGTAATCATTAAGTGCCTTCTGTGAGCTAGGCCTGAACCGGTACTTTCTTACCTCTCATCATAATATGTATGGGACAGGAGAAGACTGAGAGGGAAATGA